GCACTTCAGCACTGCATCCATTTGTTGAAACATCTCAATTGATATTCTGTCAATTCCTGAAGCCTTGTTTTTTGCCAATGCCTTCAGTGCAGCTTGGACTTCTTCCTTCAGTACCATTGTTTCCTGCTCATATGCTACCTCCTGAAATGGTTGGAATGTCAACGAATTCTTTCGGTAAAGTGACTGTATTCCTTCCATCTTCTTTTGATGCTTTTCCCCATAGAATCCTTCACTATCGCAACTTGAGGCTTGATTTTTCTCCTCAGTTCTTTTGGCAAGAGAAATGGCGTGTTCTTCCCTTTTGGTTTTCTATCCCCAGCTCTTTGCATGTGTCATTGTAATACTTTACTTTGTCTTCTCGAGTCGCCCTTTGAAATCTTCTGTTCAGCTCTTTTACTTCATCATTTCTTCCTTTTGCTTTAGCTACTCTACATTCAAGAGCAAGTTTCAGAGTCCCTTCTGACATCCCTTTTGGTCTTTTCTTTTTAATGACCTCTTGCTTTCTTCATGTATGATGTCCTTGATGTCATTTCACATCTCACCTGGTCTTTGGTCATTAGTGTTCAACGCGTCAAATCTATTCTTGAGATGGTCTCTAAATTCAGGTGGGATATACTCACGGTCGTACTTTTGCTCTCTGGACTTGCTCTCATTTTCTTCAGTTTCACCTTGAACTTGCATATGAGCAGGTGATGGTCTGTACTGCAGTCGGCCGCTAGCCTTGTTGTGACTGATGATATTGAACTTTTCCATTGTCTCTTTCCACAGATGTAGTCAATTTGATTCCTGTGTATTTCATCTGGTGAGGTCCACGTGCAAAGGTGCTGTTTACGTTGTTGAAAAAATGTATTTGCAATGAAGAAGTGGTTGGTCTTACAAAATTCTATCCTGTGATCTCCAGCATCGTTTCTATCACCAAGGCCATATTTTCCAACTACTGATCCTTCTTCTTTGTTTCCAACTTCTGCATTCCAATTACCAGTAATTACCAACGCATCCTGACTGCATGTTTGATCAATTTCAGACTGCAGAAGGCGGTAAAAATCTTCAATTTCTTCATTTGTGACTTAGTGGTTTTGCGTAAATTTGAATAATAGTTGTATTAACTGGTATTGCTTGTAGGCGTAGGGATATTATCCTATCACTGACAGCGTTGTACTTCAGGACAGATCCTGAAATGTTCTTTTTGACGATGAATGCAATGCCTTTCCTCTTCAAGTTGTCATTCCTGGCATAGCAGACCATATGACTGTCTGATTCAAAATGGCCAATACCAGTCCATTTCAGCTCATTGATGCTGAGGATATCTGTCAGTTTGTCGTACTGTGGAGGCTTGCATGTTGCTGTGATGCTGGAAGCTATGCCACTGGTATTCAAATACCAGCAGAGTCACCCATGGTGGACAGGTTTCAGCTGAGCTTCCAGACTAAGAAGGAGCCGGCGGTCTACTTCTGAAAAGAATTAGCTAGTGTAAATCTTATGAATAGCAGCAGAACACTGTCTGATATAGTAACGGAAGATGAGCTCCCCCAGGTTGGAAGGCATTCAAAACATGACGAGGGAAGAGCTGCCTCCTCAAAGTAGAGTCGACCTTAATGACGTGGACTGAGTCAAGCTTTCAGGACCTTCATTTACTGATGTGGCTTGACTCAAAATGAGAAGAAACAGCTGAAAACATCCATTAATAATCGGAACACAGAATGGACGAAGTAGGAATCTAGGAAAATTGGAAGTCGTCAAAAATGAAATGGAACTCATCAAACTAGAATGCAGAATGTAATTTTATGAACTATATTACGCCATTTGACCGAGATGTCCCACAAGACTGTGGTCCTAATCCTTCAAACCCAGAAAACCAATCCCACAAGATCTTTGGTTATATTTAAGTATTCGTCTAACTGTTCCCCCTTTGTGTTTTATTATATATTTGAATATATGTACATACAGTCACATACATTCATATGCACACACCTACATACACATATATACTCACATAAATAAACCTGTACACATGTATATGCCTACATACATACATATATATCTGCACATATATTTTTTGGTTATCGTTGCTGTTCTTTCAAAATGATACATGCCATAGCAATTACCAACAGGTCCTTTTTTCTTGTGTATATTTTAAGTGACATCATTTATCTTCATCAAGCTGTGTACACTTCACCCTCATTCAGTGGTACCCTCAAATTTATCTTTAATTCATGGTTTCTTGGGAAGCTATAAGAGGTGCTCTACCCAAGACAGCAAATTAATAGTGAAAGATGTGGGATAAGATACGGAAAAAAAAAATTCCAACCCAGGAGAGTGAAAGGAATCCCCAGGAAGAGACTGAAGAGAGTTTTAAGGGTGACATCTGGGCCACAGGAACAGAGGGCATTCAGCCCAGATTGAAACAGCTCTGAAGGATCCAGAAAAGAATTTTTCAGGATGACAAAACCGACCGAATACCTGATGCAACTGAACATCTTGACAGGAGACCTAGAAAACTGGTTAATTAATGATAAATACAGGAAAACAAAAAAAAAACTAGGTACATAAAAATATAAAGTATCAACAATAAAAAACGGTACAAGAAAAAATTAACTGTAATTTACTAAATATTTCAGATGTGAAAAATGAGAAAGCTTAGCTTACAAAATTTATAATTTAACTATATTAGAAAGATGAGGAATAGGAAGTATATGTGCGGGGAGGGGAAAAAAATCCCAATCTTCATCTATCATACTGCACAGTCAATAGACAAGCATTAAAAAACAAGAAGTAAAAATCAACATAAGCCTGTTGTTTAGAGAATTTAGGTAAGTATAAAAATTCACGTAAAAGAGTTGAATGTGGTTTTCTCTGAAGAGAGAGAAAAGGCAGGGAGAGAAACAGCTGATGCTGTTTTTATAACAAACTTTGTAGAAGTACATACACGTAGTTTTTGACTCTTTTAACTACATACATGCATAACTTTAACAAAAACCAAAAAAATAAAAAGGAAAAGCGGGAGGGAAATCTGCAGTGAACTTATTAAATAGGCACTTCCTATTCTTTCTCTTCTCCTAAACAATTAACAGTAAATTCCAACCCTGCAACCCAGAAAGGAAGAGAAATCCTCTAATTCCACCTGCTACTCATTTCAAAACTTCTAATCACTCTCAGTATGTTACTATGTAAGTATTTCATGCTAAAAATCAAGAAAATATTGAAGTATAAAAGAAAAGTCAGGAGATTACAATTCACATTCTCATTAGCAGCTATAGGCCTGGGTAGGTCACTGTTCTTTAGCACATAACAGAAAAGTTTTCCAAAATTAATGCAAATTCTAAAGGACAGTACTGAAGTATGTTGCAGATATTTGCTCAATCCTTTCTTTATTAATCTTCCTCTCTTCTCATATGTAAAAACATGGGATGGGGGCACATGGTGGGCAGAGAAGAGTCATATGAGAACTATTTAAGAAATACAGTAGGCTAATTTTCAGTATGGTTAATAAGAATTCAACACATAGCATAAAAACTTGTTTACGGTTTCTGACATAATATATTCAGTTAGTAAATACAGCTATTTATATATATGTGCCGGCTGCCTTACAAAGCTGGATTAAACTTAGCAGGTAGAAGGGGTTGTAGGGATATATTTGTATTATTTTCATTAAAAATGTATATAGAAAAGGTATATAAAGGGCACGAATGAATATAACTAAGGGGTGTGTGTGTGTATGTGTGCGTGTGTGCGTGTGTGTGTGCGTGTATGGAATATGAGTTCCACAGGGATGAAGTTATTTTCTTTGGGATAATTTAGAATTCTAGGAAGTGTCTCCTACACAATAGACAACAGAAAACTATCTCATTTTCTTTAACGGTTCAAGTAAAGTCATGTTAATTATAGGCAAAAGGCTATTTCATGGTTTATGAACAGACTCAATCATTCATTTAAACTGGACAAAGAAGCAATATAAGGACTTTTGGAATCAAAATATCAAAAATTTTAAACTCTTCCCTAATATCACACTTCATTTTCAGCTGATACTGAAAAAGAATTTTTTAAAGTTTTAACCTGAATTCAATTTACCTTTATGTAAACGTTACCTATAATATTCTAGATTAACAATAGATTAATTTGTTTTCCCTGAGGAACAGTTCTGCATGATTAGATTTCTAAGCAACCCTCAGAGTCTGAAACTTCTACGATTTATGGTAGAGACTGGAAGAAGACTCATTAATAACCTGTGATATGCAGATAACACAACTTTGCTTGCTAAAAGCGAAGAGGACTTGAAGCACTTACTGAGGAAGATCAAAGACTACAGCCTTCAGTATGGATTACACCTCAACATAAAGAAAAATCCTCACAACTGGACCAATAAGCAACATTATGATAAACAAAGAAAATACTGAAGTTGTCAAGGATTTCATTTTACTTGGATCTACAATCAATGCCCATGGAAGTAGCAGTCAAGAAAGCAAACAACCTACTGCATCAGGCAAATCTGCTGCAAAAGACCTCTTTAAAATGCTAAAAAGGAAAGATGTCAGGTGCACCTGACATAAGCCATGGTATTTTCAATTACCTCACATGCATGTGAAAGCTGGACCATCAATATGGAAGACCAAAGAAGAACTGACACCTTTGAACTATGATGGCAAAGAATACTGAATATACCATGGACTGCCAAAAGAACATACAAATCTGTCTTGGAAGAAGTACAGCCAGAAAGCTCCTTAAAAGCAAGGATGGTGAGACTTTGTTTTATGCACTTTTTATCAGGAGGGACCAGTTCCTGGAGAAGGACATCATGCTTGGTAAAGCAGAGGGTCAGTGAAAAAGACGAAGACCCTCAACGAGATGGACTGACACAGCAGCTCCAACAATGGGCTCAAACACAGCAATGACTGTGCGGATGGCGCAGGACTGGGCAGTGTTTTGTTTTGCTGTATACAGGGTTGTTATGAGTCGAACTGACTTGATGGCACCTAAAAACAACTGAAAGTTATGCAACTTACTCAAACACAAGTGTTGAATATCAATTTGAAGTCTTTCAAATACTGAATTTTTCTTTCTGTGTTTACCATCTACCTATAAAAACAGAGAATATTATTATAACAATGATATTTTATTCAAAAAAAACTTTATAGACATGAAGGATTTCCATTTGAAGTCAAAATTCAAAGCAAATAAAACTTAAAACTATATATTCTTTGGTGAAAACTCCTAACTTTTTATAAGGCTTGACAATTTTATAACTATTTATGCATATATGTATACATTTGTGATGGTTAAGACTGTGTGTCAACTTGGCTGGGCCATTATCCTCAGTGTTTATATGTGATCACTCCCATGTCTGGTATGAGTTGCCAATCAGCTGAAAGGGAGTTTCCTTGAGGGTGTGGCCTACATCCAAATATAAGCAGACGTTCTGGCTTTTTGCTTGCTCTGGATCCTGCAGCTGCCTCCTGTTCATCTGACCTCCGGTTCTTGGGACTTGAGCTATCAGCTTATCTGCCATCTTGGGATTCATGGATCTTCACAGCCTGTTAGGTAGGAGCTCTGCTCTCCGACCTGCCGATCTTGGGTTTACCAGCCCCTGCAGCTACATGAATCGACAGAAGCCTCTACCCTGATCCATGGACTTTGGACGTTCCAGCCTCTACAATCATGTAAGCTGTTTCCTTGATATAACTCTCTCTCTATATATATATTTATACACTTTACTGGTTTTACTTCTCTAGAGAACCCAGCCTAAGACAACACTACTTCATTTAATTCTAAAATTTCCTAACTCATTGATGAAGGAACTGGGGTTTGATGATATTAAGTGACTTACCTCTTTTCACCAGACCAGTTGACTCCAACTCATAGAGAACCTATAGGACAGAGTAAAACTGTCCCACAGGGTTTCCAAGGAGCAGCTGGTAGATTTGAACTGCTGACCTTTCTTGTTAGCAACCATGCTCGTAACGGCTGCGCCAACACCTAGCAGATAAAGTCTCTTTCCTCAGCATAAAATACAAGACCTTCACTAGTCTAGCCCTCTCCTCCAGCCTCATTACTGCTGAACTCCATTTTATACCATGGGCTCGCACCACAGAAATGTTTCCCTGTTGTTTCAGCCATTTGGTTACACTGTATTTGCTTCTCAAACCCTTTGATCTAGGAAGCACTATCTCACCTTTCAAGCTCATGCATCATGTTTTCTGTGTAGTCATTCTCTACTCCTTCCCTCCAACAAAACTTGTCAATCACTCCTTTGAATCTACACTGTATTCTATGTGCTTTTTTTATATTGCCTTTAACAGTTTACTACAATCATTTATCTGTCTGTCTCTTCTTTATAAAAATATGTAATAGAGCAGAGAAACTTTGTCTTATTTGAACTTATATACCCAAGGTCTACTATGATACCTGGCACTACATTCAATAAATGTTTACTGAATGAATGGTTAGTAAGTGGCAGAGGTAGGATTAGAACTCAAGATTTAACTTCTAACCTGGCTCTTTTCACATATTTTCCTTTTTCTGTAAAGTTTGAGAACTCAGATCAATGGACTACAAAATTTAGATAAAAAAATTCACCTTCAGTTTAAGTCATCAGTTAGAAACAGTAAAAAGCTACAATCAAATACGCAAAAAATAAAATTCACTTTCTTCTGCATTCTTTGAGAGACAGGTTCCTGAATATAATTTTTTTTTAACAATAAGAAAAACACTGAGTTGTTTACTAGTATACTGCAATGTTTTTACTCACCTTAAATCTTGTGGTAACCTTTTCTACTAGGATGAAGTGCACTTTTTCAGCATCTTTTAAGGCAATATCAACCCAGTGAGATAATTTTCCCTTTCCTGCTCCAAACTCAACAAAGCATCTTCTTGGACCAAGTAACTTTAATTTTTCAATGTTACCTAAAATAGAAGCCTGGAAACTTCACGAGATTATTTTACAAACTACAGCAAACACATTTGGCTCAATCGGGAAAACAGCAAGGTAATTTGTACATCTATAAGTTAAGGTAGCATGTTCATATTGAGAATTTCCTTTTGGCTTTAAATTTTTTCTTTTAAAATACTTAATACTTGTTCTATCAGTACTCAGAAACATATCCATACCAAAAACATACACATACTTTGTGAAATAGAAAAATTCTGTACTTGGAAAGATAAACTAATCTAAACAAAATCTCATTAATAGCTGTATTTAGGAAGAATACAAATCTAGCTTCTTACAAATGAATAAAAGGCCATTTAGTAGAGTTACTATGGCCTAAACATACCTGCTGTTTCAGGTGCTTGGTAGCAGAATCACCATTTTTAGGGTCATTAAGGGCATCATGCAATACTGGATGGGACATAATTTGATCTTTAAGGGTGGAGTTCAAACCTGTGCCAAATGTAAGCAGAGCATCTTAAGCAATCAAACACGAAACCATAAGACTCTGAACAACAGTAACCTCTTTTACATTATCAACTCATATACCATCTAATACCTCTAGAAGAATTTATTTTGCAACTTGTGGCAGACTTACCTACACTTGCTTTTCTCAATTTCTTAATTAAGTTTTCCAACTGTTCTTCAGATAGAAAAGAAATTGGCACCTATATACAAAAATAAAACTAAATAATACTGCCAAAAAATGCATTTCTTCTAAACTTCTTTATACAAGTTTTATCTGATCTGTGAATACTTCATATATAATTTGTATATATGTTTATATACATATATATTTGAGAATATACACATGTATGTGTGTGTGCGTGCGTGTGCGTGTGTGTATGTGTGTGTGTATCTATCCGTGCTACCAAGCTCCCCAAGAGTATATTCCACACAGCAACTCTTCTTTCTGCTAAAACCTTTTCCCTAAGCTGCCATGGGAACCGCTCAAGAGCTACACTCTACTCAGTCTCTGCCATGGTACTTCAACTTCCCTAACTTTCTCAGGGTCAAGAGCAGTTCTAGGCTCAGAAGGGTTCACGAATCAAATGAGGACTCTGAGTCATACTGTAGCTCTGTTATGGGGCGTGAGCTAGTCTGAGAACCAACCATCATCAATAACACTGATTCTATAAAAAATGTATTGAAAATTCAAAATAACTGACTCATTCAGACAAAAACTACAACACAGCTTATTCACAAAATGGAGATAGCCCATAATTACCTTTTAAAGTTAAATATTAAGTTAATGTACTTACTAATTGCTCAGGTATTTCTGTTTCATCCTTTAAGCCCGCATTAATATCTTGAATAAAGAAGTCCTTAACAAAAACAAAACCATAACAATACTGTTAATAATGTGAAGAGCTCACAAAAATTAAGCTAAAAACCTGATCCTCCCCTTCTTCCTATTCTCTGTATCCCCCATCTTCTACCTTCCTCTTGTTCATTTATTTATTAAAAAATTATTAAACACCTACTATGGTCTCTGGCTTGATATAGGTGTTGGGGATTTAGCACACCAGAGAAGAGAACAGATAAAAATCTGCATGTTCAGGATCTTACATATTAGTACTAGTGAGATGGTTATCTGTGTATGTATTTATAGTCTAAAAGAAATTCACTGGTAATTTTTATTAAAATTTTTGCTTGTCTACAGCATAGACTGAGGACCTTGCCAATTTCTCCTTATGATGTTAAAACAAAAATGACAAAGTATCACGTATACATGGCTATTTATCAGACAAGCAGCATGATTAGGAAGGAAAAAAAAATAGGGATAAAATATAGATATTACAGTGGTATAAGCCTGATTTCTTCTATCTTAAAATACTAACTAAAAACTGAAAAAATGTTCTGTGAAACTAAGTTGTTTAAATTAACATTACGAGATCTTTCTAGTCCATCTTCAGATAATCTGTAAAGATCTAAACCAGCACCGTCCGATAGAACTTTCTGCAATGATGTAAATGTTATATAGCTGCCCTAGCCAACATGGTAGCCACTAGCCTTGAAATATGGCTGTGTGATTGAGAAACAGAATTATTTAATTTTAATTAATTTGAATAGTCACATGTGGCTAGTCGCTATCATATAGGCAGTACAGATTTAGATGAATGAAACAGTACTATTTCTGCAAATTCTGTTTTAAAAGTGAAAACAACTCCTGGAACTTTGTTAACAGAGGCTGAAAGGTAACACCTTGATTGTGCGTGTGCTGCTACTTCTATCTATTTGGATACTAACGGAAATTGCTGAATGAGTGGAAAGGGAAAGGACTGCAAGTAGTACAGTGTTTTGCTGGGTGACTGGAAAATTAGCTATAACTTATAATTTGATGTGCTCTTAGTTTAAAATCATTACAAAGAGCACTCCCAAAAATTTGTGTTGTGGATTAGATTTTTAAATATGAAAGCTATTTATATTGGAGAGACTTATCAACTACTTTCATTTTGTATACAAAATTTTCTTTAAACTGATGAACATATTTACAAAGTAAGGGAGAATAGTGATAAGACTATTCTTAAGTCCCCCCCTGCATCTTCCCACCACTTTCCTCCTTTTCTTTCCACTGTGTCCTGGCATTGAAACGAATATAACCACCTTTCCCTCCTCTTTAATTCAGTCTATTATCATGTCTTACCTGGACTTCAGCAATAGCCCCCTAACTAGTCCTCCTGATTCCAAGCTATCCTCCCACACTGAGGTAAGAGAAAGTTTTCTAAGAGGTACATCTGAGCATTCCTCAGCTTAAAATCCTTCAGTGGTTCCTCATATTTTTCAGAATAAGGTTCAAATTCCTTAAAAGCATCATGTGGTTTCTTACCTCCATGCTTTTGCACATTCTTTCTGCCTAGAAGGATTCTTCTTTTTCTTTGACTCAACAAGACTCAGCCCAAGTGTTATTTCCTCTGGGAATCCTTTCTTGATCCCTTAGATTTAATTTTAACTTTGATGCAAGTACATGCTCTTATCACATGTGTGTTTACTTCTTTCACTGACCTTACTAAACAAGATCTCTAATTGGTTTAATTATAAGTTTAACAGTCTCAAATAATCTCCCTAAAGGCAGGGTTCATATTTTATCTAAATAATATTAATTTTAAATAATATTTAGTAGGCATTAAGTAAATATTTTTGAGTAAATAAGATGTGAACTTTAACTATCTGAATAACATTCATGTTGCATACAATTCTACTTTCTGAATCAGACTAAGTGGATTTACAGTCCGAGACCTTATAATACACTCAAATGTATTTTACCAAAATCAAGCCTCCTGAGGCAAGAGCCTTGTTAAACATTCATATCTGTAACCTAGTAATATATAAATATTATACATACACATTTCACCATTCAATTTTACTGATAAAACACTTACGGGTTTTGGCTTCTCTCTTGAGTTACATTTTTTCAAATGCTTTGCTAGTTGATCTTCATATACTGTACTAAATTTAAAGAGAAAATTATTTAAAATGAGATTTGTGACAATTACTATTTCCAGCACAGAAAAACGCTTACTTGAACCACACTTACTGTTTTGGATCTAAAGGACACAGGATTCTTTTTCGAGCATTTTCTTCCTAATAAATTAAAAGAAATATATTTACTTAAAATAAAATATCAAGTTTATCACTTACAGATATTAGATATAACTTTAGTGTATCATAAGCTTATGCATCACCAGAACAAGGTAAGAAAACCTTAAAAGAACAGAATGAAAAATGGGTAAAATCAGGTCAAAGGGTTTAACAACAAAAAAACTCCAAAATAATTGGTTTATTTATATAAGAAGAAATACTGTTTCGGACAAACAAGGGTATATAGCTTCAAATAGGTTATAATGAATGCCTACATATGGAATTTTGAATCTAAAATAGTATCAATTGTAATATTCATTATTATATTACGTATTTCCGAGAAAGAAAAAATGCTGCCAATTTAGATTATGACATATCATTGGTTTAAAGATGCATCTTGATTTCAAAGATGTTTGAATGAAAAAAAGAAGTATCTTAGAAACAGTTAAATATGTTAATTATTTGCCATGTTGCCATAGCCTATTGGTTTTGTAACTTTTTACTACAGCAAAGTCGAATCCTATTTGTTTCTAACTTACAAGTATTTAACTATCTGCAGTGGGGAAAAAAAGGAAAATGAATAGGTCTGACAATTCTGCCCAACATTCCACATGAATCTGTGTGCAATACAATACCGTAAAAGTTAAGACCACAGACCAGCTAGGTACGCCTAGGTATGAATCCTATCTCTATCTATTAATAGCTCTGGGATCTTAGTCAAATTTAGAGCCTCATTTGAAAGAGAATAATAATATGTCTTACCTTCTAAGGTTTGTAAAAATTAAGTGAGTTAAATTTAAAAAAATGATTAGCACAGTGTTGGTCATATGTAAATTCTAAGTGCTGGCTGTTATTCTTAACTTTTTTTAGTTTATTTTAGTCTGATGTGCCTCTTGGTATATCCATGAAACTATGTGTACTGAATTTCATGGCAAAGTTAAATGATTTTTCAATAATTTTTGAAAACATTGTGCTATTTCTTCTTGCTGACTTTAAAACCAAACCTCTATGTAAGAAAAACACTTTACTGCAGTTCACAAAGTCTACCTATATGATTTAATAAAACAGTACTATTTCCATTTATTTTGGGGGGTTAGAAACAGATTTCTCAACCTTAACATTTTGGGCTGGGAATTCTTTTTTGTGGGAGGCTGTCTTGTACGTTTTTGGATGTTTAACAGCATTCTTGGCCTCTATTCACTGGATGACAGTAACATGACCCAGCTGTGACAACCAAAATGTCTTCAGATATTGGCAATTGCCCTTGAGAGGCAAAATCACCCCCAGCTGAGAACAAATGGGTTAAAATGAGTACAAGGGGTGCCTTCACAGGAATTTATGATACCTTTTAAAAAAGACTGAAACACAACACCCAAGTGCATCATAAATTACAGATTCAGTAGGATGGCCATGATTCAAAAGCAAATCACAGTCATAGAAAGTGTTTTCATTCGGTGTTTTGCAGGTTTTATTCAAGGGACTAAAAACAATATGATGTCATTCCTCTCCAAAAATACCAATCAGCTTGTAACGATCTATTCACATTCTACTAATGTCACCATCTGCAATCACCTTCCAAATGTCTGGGTAAGGTGAAGTCTAAGGCCTTTTAATAAAGTAGAAATAAAATCTATCTTATTCTTTAACCAAGAGATGCTTGCTGGTCCCTTTAAAAACCAGCCAGTGCAACTGCAGGTTTACTTCAAAGACTTTCCATGATTAAATTACAGGTCTTGCACATTCCAAAACAAGAATGTCCTTGCTTCAGTATGCTTTATTCTAGGCAAATTATCAGTCAAATCAAAATAGGAAGTAGGGCTATAGCTATGATGAGCAATGGCGATGAAAGGGCTCAGGCGACTGATCTGTGCTGGATATTCTCTAGACGGATAAACCTTTTGACTAACAAAGAAAAAGAATGTAAGTAATATTGGACATCCAGAGGACAGAAAACTAGATGCAGGCCTATTTGATTTACTCTTTCTAATCCTCTCAGTCTGACATACTTTTTCTGTAGTATCCTGCTCCTCTCGTTCTCATTTTTATCTATTTCATATATCATATACACTTACATATATACATATATTGTTTGACAGTACAATTACATGTATAGGTGTATCATCGAATGCAGTTGTATGCCTTCTGTTCTAAATTTTAAAGGGAGTCAATTATTAGCTTCCTTAATCTATCCTCCTCCTTGCCAGCAAGTAGTTTTACGTTGCTTTCTAAAGATTGGAGGTCTAAACAAATTTTTTTTAAAAAAAGTTTCTCTCAAAACCGCATTCACAAGAAATGGTTACCACTTAAGAAACGAGAATTAGAACACAATTAGTGAAACCTCGGGATCGTCAATCAATGGCTTTCTAAAACTACCACGTCCCATTGGGAAGGGTGGGCGGGGTGTAAGAAGCCGTAGCTTGAAGTAAAACTAAAATCTAGCATTACCATGAGCTAGGATTGAGATAATGCGTCGCTGCTGTACTTAGTAAAAGAAAACAATGCTCATCACTAGCTCTCATCACCGTTCCCCAGGGAGGGCAGGATAGCGTTTATTAAAGGAAAACCTAGATAATCCAGGAGACAGCAGAAATCTTTCAAAGAGGAGAGGGGCCGCGTCCCAAAACCCCTCAGACCGGAAAACTAATTTCGGACTCTCAGGAGGGTAGGGCGATACCAGACCTCCGCGGCTCCAGCGTGTTCACCACAGAACCGTTTCCCTGCTGCCACCACCATTCTGCAGAACCGCTTCTTCTTTTCCACATAATAACCGCATCTACCCTCAGCTGGAAAACTAGTCGCTTGCGGGGTCGGCGCAAAAGCCGCCATAATTCAGGACCCGCTTCCGGTGTCGAGCACCTTAAGATGTGAAGAAAAGTTCTCAGCTTCCCTGGGTTCCCTTTCCCTTAACAAACATGGCTGCCTCGCGTCCCGTCGTACAGGCTAATTTCCGGAACCACCGCAACCGTCTTCTCGCTATTCTTCGCAAAACCGGAAGAAACTGACGGTGGCTGGCAAAGTCCAAACCTCCTCCGTCTTCCTTCCCGTTTCTGTCTCCCCGCCTCCTCTGTGAGAGTCGAGCGCCAAACTCAAACTTTACCAGGGCCCTGACGCTCTTCAGGCTAGTGCTAAAGGCCGGGCCTGTCGGACCTTTCCTCACACCAGCCAGGCAGCGGTCCAACATGAGCCAGGTTCTGTTCCAGCAACTGGTTCCCTTGCAGGTGAAATGCAAAGACTGCGAAGAAAGGTGAGGTCGGCGCCACCCGTTGCCTGTGGGTGGCGGTTGGGGTCGGGCCAAGGGAGAAAGATGGCGGATCCTGCCAGTGGACACCGACTGCGGCTGGGTGTCCGGCCCGCCTGCCTGGAAGCAGAGAGAACACCCAGCTGGGACTCAATGGGTACCCCTCTCAAGTTCGCGTTTGCAGAGGGGGCCAAAGGAGGGGTATAAGGAAATGGGAAGCCAACTCCTATCTAGTCAATGTCAAAAATCCTAGTGCTGAACGGAATTGTGGAGATTATAGCTCCACTCTTCTCTTTTGACGGATAAGAACTCTGGCCCAGAAAGGTAAAATGATTTATGGGAGTGCTGTCATCGATTTCACGGTAGGGCCAGCAGTAGAACTCAGGCCTCAGCTTCAGCCTTTCTCGCTCTCTCCTTTGGAAGTAAATTTAACCCTCAAATTAAAAAAAAAAAAAAATCCATTTAATAGTGTACTTTGCTCTTCTAAACATTAGTTATTTGGAAAAAAAAAGCAAATTAGCGTTTAATGGACTAAAAACAGTAAGGGAAAAACCAGAAACTTCATTCATTCAAGAATATTGCTTACTAGCAAAACACCTTGCTGGACACTGAAAATACATGGTCAAGAAAAACAGCCTTTGTCTTCATGGAGTTTACAGTACACTGCGAGAGGAGATACAGACCAGTCTCACAGATAAATGAAAATTGGAACTTTGATTAAGGAGGTGGTGGCATTGGGGCTTAAACAGAGAGATTTGACCAGAAGTCAGGGATTTAAATTTTTGTCTCAGTTCCACCACGTAGCTGTCTCTTAGCTCCTCGAAACCGTTACGTTTCTCACTTGTAAAACATATAATAACATGCCTACCCAACATGGTTATGAGAAACAGGTGTGAAAATGTATGTGAAAACTGAATGGTGTGGAAATGTAACATTAAAAATGAAGACATTGATTTATTGATTTGCCATTAATGTGGTTCAGAGTTAGGTCCAAATCAATTGGCAAGCCAGGCAAAGAGATGGTACCAAAACCAGCAGCTGCATATGGTGATATGTAGGTTGTGTTAGATGGACAGTTTTCTGTGCTATCCAATATTGTAGCCACTAGCCAAATGTGGTTACTTTACACTTGTAATGTGGCTAATCCAAACTGATGTGCACACTAGATTTTGAAGATTTACTATGGAAAAAAAAAAGAATAAAATATCTTATTGGTAATTTTTATATTGTTTTCAACCGACAATATTTTGGATATATCAGATTAAATAAATACGTTATTAAAATTAATTCTAGCTTAATTTTTTTTTAAATGTGGCTTCTAGAGAATTTAAAATTACATCCACAGCTCACATTTGTGGCTTTCATTATATCTCTATTGGATGGTATTGTTCTAGAATGATTATAGAAGATAACAGAAAGAAGGGTGTCACTTCTGATTTCATTGTTGAAGCTCTTAGCTGTTCTTCATCTCGTTACACTGTCATCACAATTATCTTCTTAAAACACTATTTCAAACTTTTCATTTCTCTTTAGAGACCTTTCCTTTCATATATTCCTATCATCTATATATGGGGTTGGCAAACTACAGCCTATGGCCCGTATGTCGCACTGTTTCTGTAAATAAAATTTTGTTGGAACACAGTTATGCTCATTTGTTTATGTATTATCTATGACTGCTTTTGTGCAACGATTGCAGAAATGAGTAAGTGTAACAGAGACCTGATGGCCTGCAAAGCCTGAAATATTTACTGTCTGGCCCTTTACAAGAAAAAGTTTGCTGACCCTGACCATGGCGATAGGTAGTTTGTTTTATAGGGGGGAAAATTCTAGACTTTTTAGTTAAGTATTCAGGACTAGTTTAGTTCAAGAAATATCTGTGAATGCGCACTATGTACCAGGAACTGTCCTAGGTGCTGAGGCTATAAAGCTCCTTTTGCTTTCCAACAAAAGAGTTATTCTAATCCTCAAGGAACTCACACTTTAGTAGGGGAAACAAAAAAATTTTTTTCCTCGGAGAGGCAGCATAGCACAAGTTAAGAGTTTAGGTGCTGGAGCCAGATTACCTGGGTTTAAATTCCAGTTCTGCAATTTATTGGTTGTTTTTTCTGTACAAGTTACTTCTCTGTGCTCATCTTTTAATTGATGATAGTAGTACCTACGTCATGGGATTGTTGTGAACATGAAATAAGTTAATTCATATAAAGTGCTTCAAACAGTGCCTACATCCACGCTTGGCCACAGCTCTGTTAGCAGAGCAACATTAACTATTCCAGATTGTGACCTCAGTAGCAGCTTTTCTCTTTTAAGCTCTTTGATTTCTCCAAGATAATCAATGGAATTAACATAATGTGAATGGAGTGTGCTGCAGTGATATATCTAAAGGAATGAGGTACAGGCAGGGAATGAGTCGTCTTTCCTTGAAGTGTGATAAAAAGCAACCTGCATTCCAATCTTCTCTTGCTTGATGACAGGGCAGCAGATTTCCATTTACGTGCATAGGTTGTTAATCAGTGTAATATTGCTATATTTCCAAGAGAAATCACTAGGTGAAAGCAAGGAAGGTTTTATTGGCTATAAAAGTATTTGCTGTTTCAAAAAAACAAAAACAAAAACCAGTGCTTAGAGCATAATCAGCACCCACTAAACATTACCTATTAATAAAGTGTGATTAATGCATGAATATAAGTAATCTACCTTTTCAGTTTTATTTTAAACTCCTTTCCACGATATGCTACTCACACAAGACTACTTGTTATCCTCTGGATGTACCTAGTACTCCCTCTCTACCATACCTTTAATATTGATATTCCCTCTTCCCCAAATGCTCTTTCTTTCATCACCTTTAAGGCCTATCTTAAATCCTTTCATTACAAGGACCTTTTTAAAGTTGGCAAAGTTGACATTAATTGCCCTTACTCACTTATTAGATAACACGATGTAGGTGAAAGACCTGACTTCCACTTTGGGCTCCACAGTGTGACCTTAAACAAGTCCGTACTTTTGTGAGTCTTAAGTTCTTCCTCGGTGAGACAGAGATAATATTTACTTAACAAGATTATTTGTTAAATAAGATGATATATGTAAAATACCTGGCAGATATTCAGTAATGTTAGTAACTCTTCCATCCCCTCTCTGAAGACCTAAAATGCAATCAGAAGCAAATCTGGGGAAAAATCATTTAGTCTGATCTAAATTTGAGGACATGGACCATGTTTATTTCTGTTTGTATCCTTAGCACCCAGCGCAGCATATGATTTAGAGTAGCTTTTATTTGTTTGCATTGAGAGTTTAAGGTCATAGCTACTAGGTGGCAGAGGTGGGCTAGAATCCACTTCTGCCAATGCCTGATGTTTAAGATTTTTTTTTATTTTTTATTTAAGAGAACACCTAGCCAAATCTAACTGACGGAAGATGTTACGTAGATTTATGCACTGTTCAGAGTGCGGCGTTTATTTTGAGAAATAGTATTTTTTATTGAGTTTTTATTGATGAAGTGTTCTATATTGTTTCTATGATATTACCCTTATGGAGGAAACAGAACTTGTGATTTTAGGTAGTATATCTCCTGGAAGCTCAGATTTTTCTACAAGATATTTCTAGGGAAGGATTTGAAATGAACATCAAGAATAGCTTTAATTTATGGGTCTTTCCTTTCTTCTTTTCTCTCCCAACATCTAATGAATATAGGCATTTGGAATGTATGCAACAGTATCATTAATATGATGGGAAGATTATCATGTTAATTTAATGGTTCTTGAATTTTTACAAATTTGTGAAGAATGACAGGACTTTTAAAACTGTAACCATAAAAAATTAGTTATCAACAGTAGTGTCATACCACTATGGCAGTATATACTAGAAAACACTTCCGAGGATAAAAACTAAACAGTGATGTTGTAGATAAAAAGGACCTAACAAACCTTATAATTCAATCCACTTATCTTACAAATTAGGAAACTGAGGCTTTTTTCCCCACAGAAACCTTAATTTAAGTGGAATTTGAGTAGGAATCTCATTATTTCATATATATTGCCATCAATACTCAATTGCTATGTCAGTATGTTTTTTTTAGTTCTGTAGTAGGCAAGTAGAATGTGTACAATCTTGAAAGAACAGCTTAATATTGAACAAACTCTTTTTATGAGTTTACTTTCTTTCTCTGAGCATCAGGCAAAGACCATTGTTATTTAATTCTAGCAGAATAGCTTAAGACCTGTTGGTCCATGGATGCTTTTTTTCACAGATTTCCCCCTTTATTTCCATTTCTTTTCAATTAATGTTTACAAATCACCTTTATCTATAGTCCTCTGTCCAATGCTGGATTCTCTAAGATGCAGTATAAAATGTGAAAGGCTATGGTCCCTCCTCCCAGGGCTTAGTTAGGAGATGATAAATGATGATAAACTTGTTTACAATCTTCTGTGGATATATTGCATAAATAGTGTATGAGGTAGATTTGGTTTGTGGCTCTGAAAAACTTCTTATGTAGGCATAAGGAGAGGGAATATGTTGTCTTTGTGACTCTTAAACTTTTTAAGCAATTCATTCATATTTTATATTTTTAAAACAGAGCTTCTCATACATCAGTCTCCTCATTTGAAATGGTATTTTTTTTAAATGCAAAAAATTGTTATTAAATGATGGTTTTTTTTTTTAATAGAATCAAGGCAGTAAGTTAGTGTATACCAGGCTAGTACTAGGCACTGTACAATGTGTATCTTATTTAATCCTGGTGGAAGAACAAAAACTTAAACTTCAAATCCGGTGTGCTTTCCAAACATCTATTCGTAAATTAGGGCATACCTGTGGAAGATCTTGTAGCTTAAGACTGAAAACTGTAGCTAAAACAAATGTCAGTGATAACTAATTTCATGTGAATTTTTCTGATAGTTGGACATATCTTTTCACGCAGGAGATTAAGTGTTAGAGTGAGCATTGAACTACAATCAGTTTCTAACCCAGTTCACAGAAAGGTTGGTATTTCTTTCTTTTTGAAATATGATAATTTCTGTACATTGTAGATAATTATTTTTGTTCTTTAAGAATGTGGGATCTTTTGTTATATCATTTTGCTTTCTAATTTTGGGCCATTTTGTAACTGTTGAAAATCTGGAGTGTTGAAATCTACTAGGAGAACAGCTAGGGGTTTAGGGGCCAGACTCCTTAAGTTTGCCCAGTGCACTTATAGGTTGCTAGAATATATATTGCTCCCTACAGAATTGGCATTTCATGATGTAAACATGAGAACAGAGTAAATTGAAGCACTGAAGGGAGATATTAGTTTTTGAATCTTTTACTATACCTTTTCAAGTGAGCTATTTAGATCATTAGAGCATCAGTCCCATATGATCTTCAAAAGTATGCATCATTAACAGAGCTAATGGTACAGGATAAAGGGCTAAGAAATATGTGGTCTATAAACTGAAACATTCTGAAATTCAAACTACCATATCTGGCTTTTTTTCATCTACTGTAATTGAAACTTTGAACCTCTTGCTGCTGAAACTCTTATCACCACCTTCCTAAGGACTTAGGGATTGGTAAGGAAGTGAAATAGACGTATATGGAATTAGACTAGGAGGAAAGGTCAGAGGCAGAATAGGAGCTTGATCTTTCTGTATTCTGGGTGTGTTTCACATGAACTAGGATTTAGCCTACCCTGGTGGACATTTTCATTGCTTCAATTACTATCTAATTTTAAAATTTAAATTAAAAAACAAATATGTGAGAAGGAAAAAAATTTATAAGTAATACATTAATATTAGAGGATCCAAAAAATAAATGTCATTACCTTTCTCTCTGCTTCTGATTCTTTTCTAATCAACCTTTTTATTAATCCCATTCTCATTTAAAAATGCTTTCTCCATTCTTTTTTCGCTAAACACATTCAAGGGCCTAGTAGTATTAACTCTCTCTCAACAGCAGCTTTAATTTTTTTATAGCACGTTGGGGTGGATTCATAAAGTACTTAAATAGAATCTGTTTAAGAACAGGGCATTCTGAAAAGAACAAATACTCAGATTGCTAATTTTCCAGGGTAGGGATTGTGTTTTATACTTCTACATGTTCTTTCTTATGTCTGCTGTAATTCTTTTCCAGCTCTGTTTATAAGTCTTTTAGATTTTTATAAGGCTGTAGCAGTTCCTCAGTGGCAATGATTGAATTTTAACTTCAAAACGAAAACTTATTCTAACGTTAATGCTTATCTCTTTAATAATCCTCTGTCATCTTGTTGCTTGTCTATTTTCCCTACACCTACGTTCTCTTTAGTACATAATTTCTGTGTGCTTTTCTCAGGAGCGAATTAACCAGTAAGCAAGATATGCACGGGCTTAGTTGTTTTTGCTTACCTTTCACTACAGATTAATTAATAAGTAAGCACAAGTAAGCCCATGCATATTTTGCTTATTAGGTAATCTGCCCCTGGGTTTTCTGTCAGCTTTAGCTGCTGTGATGATCTGCCAAAAAAACCAAAACCAAACCCACTGCTGTCCGGTAGATTCTGACTCATAGCAATCCTATAAGACAGAGTGGAACTGCCCCATGGAGTTTCCAAGGAGTGGCTGGTGGATTTGAACTGCTGACCTTTTGGTTAGCAGCCTGAGCCCTTAACCACCAGTGCCACCAGGACTCTGTGATGATCTGCCACAGACTATAAATTTAGCTATCTGGAAAGTGGTCTTTATGAAAGTACCCACTTCATTTGAGATTGAAAACAGATAGGGTTCCATGTCAGTGGCCACCTGGAGTAGGAGAGAATTGGCCCTTAGGAGGAAGCCCTGGCACATGTCACTTGATATCCTTGTCTTCTGCCTGAGAGACAAAAGCTACTTCCTTTTCCAGAGTGGATGATAGTTCTGCTGTTGTATTTGCCACTTTTGAAAGCAGGGCTTTGAACCGGTTCATTCTGGTTTGAACCCCTTCTAAGAATTTGCATTTCCAGCAAGTTCCCAGGAGATGCTAATGTTGGTTAGGGACCAGTTCTGAGAATTATTAGTAGAGTGTTGGTTCTCAAAAATTTATTAAACACTAGAACCACCTGAGGATCTTGTTAAACTGTAGATTCTGATTCAATATATCTGGAGTGGAAAAGCAAATTCTCAACTGGGGTTCAAACAGGACCAAACGAGTTCAAAGCCCCATTTGAAACACCAGACCAGTTAACTTGCGGAAAAGCTTAAAATTTTATGTGGTAAAGTCAGTGGTAAAGAATATTTTTGTCATGCAGCAAGGGCTGGGTCTGTTTTACTAACCCACTAATTGGATGATATTACTTTAATTTGGATTCCTAGCATTTAATTAACTTTTACAGACCCCTGTGTGGCCAGCAATGGGTTTAGTTTATGTGGTTCTCAAGGAGTAGACTATCTACCCCTATGAGAGATTTTAAGTCTCTGAAGACTAACGAGGAGCCTTGGTGGCACAGTGGTTAAGAACTACGGCATGCTATGGCTGCTAACCAAAAAGGTTCACAGTTCAAATCCACCAGCGGCTCCTTGGAAACCCTATGGGGCAGTTCCACTCTATCTTGTAGGGTCACTCACTATGAGTCAGAATCGACTTGACAGCAAGAAGGTTGGTTTTGGTTTCTGGTTAAAGACCAATGAAAAATCATCATCAGCAGAAAATAAACAAAGCCATCTGAAATATAACTGACACATTGATGTTATTGGATGATTTCACTTCCAAGAAGGAAGAAATGACTCTAAAAGCCAGATCTACTGAAAACATTAAAAACAACAATCTTTCTTTTAGGATTTAGTTATTCGTCTGACTGATGATACTGATCCATTTTTTCTATATAACCTCATTATATCTGAGGAAGATTTTCAGAGGTAACTAATTTTTTTTTCTGGTCTCAAATTATACTTAATCTAGGAATAAATTGGTTTCTAAGTTTTATGAATGTATTCATACTGTTCTCTTTGAAACATGTACTGATTAGGGTCATTTAGATATTTTGAGAACACTGCATTATTTATAATGTAATTATTCAGAATGTTTTGGAAATAAGTTTATCATAGATTATCAGAGTTCTGTTTAAAACAGCTAAAAAAATTTGGAGCTTTAGCTAAATTTATTGACCTTTTTCCTCCTGTTGAATAAATTCTACCAAAATCAAAGTTCCCTAGCTTAATTCTTGATTATAATGGGTGTTCAGTAATAGAAAAAAGAATCATTCATTGTATTAATTATAATTAAGTATAATAATTAAATTTTTTTCCTTTAAAAGATTTTCTTTTTGTCTGTTCTGTTTAGTTTAAAATTCCAGCAAGGTCTTCTGGTAGACTTCTTAGCTTTTCCACAAAAATTTATAGATCTACTTCAGCAATGTACTCAAGAACATGGCAAAGAAATTCCAAGGTAAGTCTCATGAGAGCACTACATTAGTGAATTTCTCAAGACAAACTTTTCTTTGAAACACAAGCTGCTGGCAAAATATTTTCCATATATTTTAAGTAATTCTATTTCTTTAAAAAAAATCCCTTAATGGCCTTAATTCAATATTTTTAAAAATCTAAATTAATACATTGTTGTTGTTGCTGTTGCTATTAGGTGCTGTTGAGTCAGTTCTGACTCACAGCAACCGTACGTACACCAGAATGAAACACTGCCTGGTCCTAAGTCATCCTCACAATCATTGTTATGCTTGAGCCTACTGTTGCAGCCACTGTGTCATTGAGGGTTTTCCTCTTTCAGCATTCTGGCTGTACTTCTTCCAAGACAGATTTGTTCATAATTCTGGCAATCCATGGTATATTCAATATTCTATGCCAACACCATAATTCAGAGGTGTCAGTTTTTCTCTGGTCTTCCTTATTCATCGTCCAGCTTTCGCATGCATGTGAAGTGATTGAAAAAAACATGGCTTGTGTCAGGCGCACCTTAGTCCTTAAGGTGGCATCTTTGCTTTTCAGCACTTTAAAGAGGTTTTTTGCAGCAGATTTGCCCAGTGCAACACATTGTTTGATTTCTTAACTGCTGCTTCCACGGGTGTTGATTATGGATCCAAGTAAAATGAAATCCTTGACAACTTCAGTCTTTTCTCTGTTTATCATGATGTTGCTTCTTTGTCCAGTTGTGAGGATTTTTGTTTTCTTTATGTTGAGGCGTAATCCATACTGAAGGCTGTAGCTTTTGATCTTCATCAGTAAGTGCTTCAAGTCCTCTTCATTTCCAGCAAGCAAGGTTGTGCCATCTGCATAATGCAGGTCGTTAATGAGTCTTCCTCCAATCCTGATGCCACATTCTTCTTCATATAGTTCAGCTTCTCGGATTATTTGCTCAGCCTACAGGTTGAATAAGTATGGTGAAAGGATACAACCCTGACGCACACCTTTCCTGATTTTAAACCATGCAGTATCCCCTTGTTCTGTTTGAATGACTGCCTCTTGATCTATGTACAGGTTCTTCATGAGCACAATTAAGTGTTCTGGAATTCCCATTCTTCGAAATGTTATCTATAATTTGTTATGATCCACACAGTCAGATACCTTTGCATAGTCAATGAATGATGAACAAAATACCAAAATTTTAAATAAAGACAGTCTGACAGGGTCAAGACTAGAGTGAGGTGAGTAAGGCAAGTTGGGCAAGTGCAGAGTCACAGCCTGTCTTTATTACAGCCGTATCTATTTTCTAAGTCTGTGTTTAGGGCTCCTTTAGATATTAACTTTGAAGGAACCATGATTAAAGTCAGAAGTAGTTACTGTCTTAGTTGTCTAGTGCTGCTACAGCAGAAATACCACAAGTGGATGCTTTAACAAAGAAATCTATTCTTTCATGGTTTAGGAAGCTGGAAGTCCAAATTCAGGGCACCAGCTCCAGGGGAAGACTTTCTGTTTCTGTCAGCTGTCAGAGAAGGTCCTTGTCATCAATCTTCCCCGGTCTAGGAGCTTCTCAGCACAGGGACCCCAAGTCAAAAGGATGCACTCTGCTCCCAGTGCTTTCTTGGTGGCATGAGGTGTCTCTCCTCTCTGTTCAGTTCTCGCTTTGTATCTCAAAAGCGGTTGACTCAAGGTACAACCTAATCCTATAGGTTGAGTCCTGCCTCATTAACATAACTGCCTCTAATCCTGCCTTGTTACCATCATAGAGATTAGGATTTACAACACATAGGTTAATCACATCAGATCACAAAGTGGTGGACAACAACACAGTACTGGGAATCATGGACCAGCCAATTTGACACACATTTTGGGGGACATAATTCAATCCTGCAATAGTTGCCTTTAATTTTTAGGTCTTGACAAAGCCATTAAAGCTATCTGAAGTATTTAACAACATCAAGTATATGTTTTTATAATTAACATGGAAAAAAGGAAAGAATAAGATAATGTGTTTGTGTGTATGTGTATTTGTATTCATGTTCATGTAGTGTTGGTGCCTGATCCTTTCATTATAAAGTTACCACAACCTTTTATCTTTTGATTTTATCAATTGATGATTGTTGTTTTAATCAATTGTTTGATTCCAAAAAACCCAAACCAAACCCATTGCCGTTGATTAGGAGCTATAGAATGGTGCTTTTCTAATTTTGTCATTCTTTTCATATTTATTAGGTATAATTCTTCTACAAAGAAGAACTTTCCCTCATCAACTAGGGCTGTTTGATTACTCTGAAAAGTCATACAGGAAAGGATAAATGCTTAATTCTGTCTTTCAAATTGTTAGTTTTCAGAGTAAGAAGTTAATATCCTAGTCACTTCTGTGGTATTCAATGAGTTTTGTGTTTGGTTTTGTTTTTTGTTTTTTGCTTTCTTTCTCTCCCCATCTGCCTCTTGTTGTTAACTCATGGACTTTTATATACTACTATGTTTCAGTCAATCCTTTTTCTTTTTTTTTGCCTAATTTATCCCTTCTTTCACCATTCAGAATCCTTTTCTATTTACACCTATAATTCTGCTATGCCTCCTTTCCTGGTCCTTGTAAGTAGAGGAGCTCTTGATTTAATGGGAGAGTTTCACTGTCTTATAAATATGTTATAATGTGACACTTTCTTTTCAAAGGTTTTTGCTACAATTAGTTTCTCCAGCAGCCATTTTGGATAACTCACCTGCATTTTTAAATGTGGTGGAGACAAATCCTTTTAAGCATCTTACTCACCTTTCACTAAAACTTTTACCTGGAAATGATGTGGAAATAAAGAAATTTCTAGCAGGATGTTTGAAATGTATCAAGGTAAAATTTAAATTTAAGTTATTCTTTTAAAATAAGCATAGAAAGTCTTTCATAAATCACTGAAGAGACATATTGCCATTCATTTGTATTTTCTGAACAAAGCTATTTAAAGATTTCCAGTAAGTTTTTGTAACGTAATATATTTATTTTATTTTATTTTTCATTTCATCAGGGTACAACAATGACCAGGAATTTGGAAACTTAAGTCCCAGAGTTTTTACTACTTTTCTGTGACCTTGAGCAGGTCACTTAAACTTTTGGTGTCATCATTTTATCAGCTGGCAGATATGTATAGAAATACCTACCCTATCTAGCCCCATCTTAAGTGAGATAACATATATGAAAATGTCTCAAAATGTCCAAAGTGCTGTATAACTATATAAGGCATATGGCGCAAGACAACAACATAGGAATACCTCTTAAGAGTTTTCAGAAAGTTTTTTTATTCAAATGCTATAGATCAGTGCATTTCAAACTTTAATGAGTATACAGATCATCTGGGGATCTCATTAAAATGCAGATTCTGATTTAAAAGGTCTGAGATGGACCTGAGATTCTGCATTTCTAACTCGTTCTCAGGTGATGCTGAGGCCACACTTTGCTACGCTTTGAGTAGCATGGCTACAGATGAGTGTATTAAATTGTAAACTGCATAATTTTATTATTTTTACAAATAGGAAGAAAAATTATCATTGACGCAATCACTAGATGATGTTACTAGGCAACTGAACTTGACACAAAAGGTAATTCAAGATTCATTTTTTATTTGTAAGTCATCCAGGCATTGGCTCTGAGTTGCTTCTTGAATCATATCCAAGCTTTTGTGTATTTTCTTTAACACACGCTACCATTGAATTCCCTCTCCTTTCTGCTACCCTTCCCCTACCAGTTAATTATCGTAATCTGATGCTTTCTCTCTTAGATACTTTATTCTATCCAACCATTTCTGTTATCCCCAAAATATTACGCATTTTCTCCTATCTCTAAGTCTTTGTTAACATAATGTATGAAAAGTATCTGTCACATATTAGTTTTCTGCTCCCCTTTTAATTCATCTCATTCCTCTTGGCTAAAATGCCGTTTCAGTTCCTGGCTTCTAGACCTTTCTTTCTTTCTTTCCCTTCCTTCTGTTAAGTTTAGAATTAATTCCTTTGTTGGGCCCCTCTAAGCTTCTCATTCTTTTGGTCTTAGCTACAATCTTTTGTTCCTTGTCCTTGAAATTGAGGAACAAAGTATCTGACAAGCTGTGTGGCTTTAGGTAGAAAATATCCCTGCACAGCATGACCCATCTTGGGGACCTGTGTGTTGCTTTTCTTTATAAAAATGCCAGAGGAAGGGATTGGGTGGCGAAGAGCCAGATCAAATTAATAAAAGGTTAAGATAGTTAAGCTTTACCTGTGAGCCATTTTAGCTCTAAAATTGCTTTTATTCCAATCTTGATTTCCTCAAATTAAGAAAAAAAAACGTGTAGGAAAATGCTTTGAGTGTGTCTTGAAAAGCTGTGATTACGTTTTCTTTAATATCTTTGTAAATATTGCCATGTTCTAATCAAAAGTATTTACACATTTAAGAGGCTATCTTAATATTTGTATTGAACTCTAATACAGACATTATCAGAAAAAATCCAAGAACTAGATAAGCTACGGAATGAATGGGCATCACACACAGCAGCACTGACAAATAAGCATTCTCAGGAACTGACAAATGAGAAGGAAAAGGCCTTGCAGGTATGAATATTAAAGGAAACTAGAAAAAAATATTTTTATTGCCAATAATCATTTTGTTAATTATAAAAGTAATATTTGCTTGCTTCAAAATTTTCAAACATTATGGAAGTGTGTTTTTGTGTGTGTGTGTGTGCGCGCGCGTGCGTATACAAAGTAGAACTGCTCCATTGTGTTTCCAAGAAGCAGCTGATGGATTTGAACTGCCGACCTTTTGGTTAGCAGCCAAGCTCTTAACCACTGTGCCATCAAGGCTGCTATATATATATATATATCAGTTCAGATATTCCTTTTTAGTGGCTGCATAGTATTCATTGTTTGGATATCATTTAAATTACTTAACTACTTACCTAACTCATAAGTATTTAAATGCTTGAAAATTTTGGTCTTTGCAAACAATACTGCAATAAACGTTCTTTGTTCCTACAAGTGAGATTGCAACATACCTTTATAAAATATTGATAGATACTGCAAATTTGCCACCCAAAAAGGTTGTACCGAAAGGATGTCTCAGAGATAATGTATGAGAGTGCCTATTTCCATGTGCTTTTGAAATTATTACTCTCTTAGTATTTGCCATCTGATAGGTGTTAAGGTAGTACCTATGTTAATTCATATTTCTTAGATTTTTAGTGAAGATATAAGCATCTTTTAATATGTCTTTTGACCGTTTTATTTTTCCTGTGGATATTTTTTAATATATTTTGCTCACTTTTCCTATGTGGTTGTCATTTTCTACTGCTTTATAGTGTGTATTTCTCTTTTTACCTTTTACAGTATGGTTTCTTTAATATTAGTTTTATTTTTTTGCTCTTTATGACGTGTTTTACTCTTAAACATGCAGCTTGATGATTTTTTTCGTGTAAATTTTACCCAAATTAAGATTCATAAAATTGTACCACCCTCCAGGTTTCCTGTGTACCTTTCCAGTGTATAGCACACTCTTATCACAGGAGGTCATCACGCTCCTAACTTCTGTCATAACTGGTTGGTTTTGCCTGTTCTTCAACTTCATATAAGTGGAATCATACAGTATGAACTTATTTGTGTCTGGCTTCTTTTACTCAGCATAGTGTCTCTGAGATTCAGTTATGCTCCTGTGTGTTTCTTTTTACTGTTGCATAGTAGTCTATTATATGAATATACCATAATTTATTTTCCTGTTGCTAGGCATTTTAGTTGTTTCTAATCTTTTTGTTATTATTAAAAAAGCTGCTGTGAACATTTTATACATGTCTTTTTGTAGACATATTTACTCATTTTTCTTGGCTATGTATTTAAGAGTGAAATGGCTGGGTTCTAGGGTAGACCTATGTTTAGCTTTAGTAGAAACAGCCAAACAGTTTTCCAAGGGTGATATACCAGTTCATACTATCATTCTGGAGGTTTGTAATAGCATCTTATACTGATGTTGAGCACTTTTCATATGCATGTTGACCACTTGGATATTTCTTGTGAAGTGCTATTCAAGTCTTTAACCCATTTTTAAATTGGACTATTAATATCTTTCTTATTGATTTGTATGCATTCTTTGTACATTCTGCACATGAGTCTGTGTCAGATATATGTATCGTAAATACTTCCTGTGGCTTTCCTTTTCATGTCTTAATGTTGTAAAGTAAGGATATTATGTCTTTGTTATTCATATTATAAACATTTTCTCTTGGCCTGTCATTTGCCATTTATCGGTATCTTTTTCCATATATAGTTCTTTTTATTTGAATGTCATCACATTTGTCAGTATTTTCTTATATGGCTTAAGGCTTCATTTCCTGTTTGGAAAACATTTATCACCCCAAAATTAGAAAAAATACCATCTAATATTTTCTTCTAATGCTTTTATAATTCTCTTGTTATATTTAATTCTTTAATCTATTTGGAATATGCTATTGTGGTATACAGTATGAGGTAGCAATTTTTTGCCATATAATCAGTTCCAATACCATTTTTCCCCAATGATTTAAACGCCATCTTTATTATATCCTAAATTCCTTTATGTATTTGGGCCTGTTTCTGGGCTTTTGGGAAGAACTGATATCCTTGGGAAGATATCAGCCAAGGGAAGAGACACATAGGCCAAGAGTCCAGAAGGGGTCCAAGTGCAGAGCTATTAGTCATCCTCTCCTGTAGAATCATGGATGGCATCACTTCCTCCAGGCCATGATGTGTGACAATATACAGAGTATTACCAACCAGGGAAGCTCACTTGAGTCTTTGGTGTCCAGAGTTTTTATTGGGGTCAGACTAATGCTTTTAGTCTCGAGTTCCTTCAGAGGTCAGAACTGATGCAGGGTGGCTCAAAGCCCTCATGGTAAATCATATTGTTAGACTGCCTAGTGGCCAAAGTCCCAGCAAACAAAGACAGCCCTGTCAGGAGGACATTCCAAGGACCTAGTGATCATCTCGCAGTAACTGATGGCAAACGCCAGACCTCTCTTTGGGAAGGTTAATTCTTCACTACACACTAAACTCAAGAGATGAATGAGAATATTTTCCAGTTTTCTCTATGCTTTGGAACAGTTAGATAAAAGAAGTTAGCTTTTCCTTGAAGGCCTGATAGAATTAGCCTTTTAACGTTTTAATCTGATGCCTTTTTGAGGCATTTATCTTTAAGTTCTTTTCCCATTTGCACTGTGATTATTGGCCTGTTTGGATTTTCAAGTTTTTGAGTGAGCTTATGTTTCCTTAAAAAATCGTGTATTTCATCTACATGTTCCAATGTATTAGTACAATATCATACATAATATTGTCTTATGATTTTTGTCTCCATATCATTTCTCTTTTTTCATGCTCTTAATTTATGTTTATTTTTGTTTTGATGAGACTCAGTCGTGGCCTATTTTTTAGTGTTTTTGAAGAACCAGTTTTTTGTTTCATTAATTAGTTCTGCAATATTTCCCCCCATTTTATTGATTTCTCATATTTAGTATTTTTTTGGCTCTATTTTCCAGTAAGTTAAGTTCTAAAAGTCTGTTTGTTAGTGCTTTTTTTTTTAAACTCCAAACCAGATAAAGGATTTGTTTGCATTGCCCATGCATTTTCTAATAGGATTGAGAATCAGTCACTTGCTCCTTTAAAACCAGGCCAGTTCTTCTCTTCTTGCTGATAGGTATTCGATACAGCAGTGGTTTTAAAACTTCAGTGTACATCAGAATCACCTGCAAGTCTTGTTACAATACAGATTGTTGGGCCCTTTTCCTAGAGTCTGATTCAGCAGGTCTGAAGTGGGGTCCTGGAATTTGAGTTCGTAACAAGTTCTCAGGTAATGCTGATTCCTCAGGTCTGAGAACCACCACTACAAAGCATTGTTTCCCAAATTAGACTAATTCTGGGAAAATTTGAATCCTTCACACTTTTGTCTATTTTTCTTTATACTACTTACTCCTTTTTTAAAAATCCATTCTTAATTTTAAATAATAGTCTAATTATTTCTATTTGTTTTTTTATTGTTGTTTCTATTGTTTATAGTAGCTTCTTTTCTGTGAGAAATTATAGCAGCAAGTAGAATCACCTATCTTCATTTTATGTATTAATTATTTTCTTGATCCTGACTTCTCTATTTATTCACTTTTCTTCTGATTGTTCATAGAACTTTCTCTTAATCCTTCTTTTCAAATTCTTATCATTCTAAGCTCATCTCCAAAATATTTTTCTCGTCTCATGTTCTGATTAAAGCCTCTGTAGAATATTCTTTTGAAAAATATTGCTTCTACCTCTACAAATTTTCCCGTTTTTGTTGGGCTCTATTATTTTTGCTATAATTCTGAAACTATCCTTCCAAAAGATATTTTTTTCTTTCAGAATAGAAATATTTTTTCTTATATACTTTTTCTAAAAATATCCAAATGTTTCAAAAGTATACAAAGTAGAAATTGTAAATTTTGTAATCCTATCCTTCATACTTTCAATTTTTTAAATTAAAAAAAAATCCTCAGCATTCTAATGATCACTAGAATAAAAGCAGTTATTCGTTTTTACTGCCTTTGGCCCTAGTACATTTACATGGTTTTTAAAAAAAAACAAACCTGTTGCTGTGGAGTCGATTCCGACTCATAGTGACCCTATAGGACAGAGTAGAACTGCCCCACAGGGTTTCCAAGGAGCGACCGGTGAATTCGAACTGCCGACCTTTCGGTTAGCAGCCAAACTCTTAACCACTATGCCACCATTACCTTTAGTGTCGTTGATTACCCTCTTCTTTTAGAGAGTTACAGTTAGCATCTTTACTAGCTCACTGTTTTTGTTTTATTTATTTTACTTTATCACTCCTTCAGTGTTTTCTTCCAAGATTACACTTTCAACTTTATATGGACTCTTTCCTGTTTTATCTTTTTTGGCCTCTTCTGTTTTCCAGTTTTCCCAGAATGAGGAAATTCCTGAAGTAGTCATGTAAAATTCCCAAAGTATTTTATAAGTACTTTGAGAATTTTACATTAGTACTAGTGGTAGGAACTTTTTGATGGGTACAGCCTTTCCAGAAAGCGGTTTTGGAATTTGTATCAAGCTTTATAATCACTATATTCTTTGACCTATAGTTGATCATAAGGAAATAATCTAAATTTTGACATATATATATATATATATATGCATAAAAATATTACTGACAGTGCTTTTTGTAATCGTGAAAAATTGGAAACCAAATGTTTGTAGTAGAGGAGAGGTTAAATGAATTATGGAACAGCCATAGGGTGGCACGTTGTGTAGTTATTCAAGTTTATACTAAGAGGTTTTTAATGACTCGAGAGGGTACACATGCTAAATGATCAATATTGTCTAAATAGCTTGATCTTAATTTGGTAAATTTAAATATATATAATGTGTGTGTATGAGTGATATTGATATAAATATATAAATGACTGGAAGAGAGTATTCCTAATATTAACTCCCTGGATGGGATTATAGGTTATTTGTAATTTTCTTCTTTGTACTTTTAAAGAGCACGTATAACTTTCATAATCAGAAAAAAAATGTATTTTATTTTTAAAAAGAATTTAAGATCTGATAGTGTTTATCAACAGAAATTATTGAGATAGGTTTGCAGTATGATTCAAATAGACACTAGCAATGACACAATCATGATCTCGTTCAAGTTTTATTGTTGGTTAAATGTAACTATTAAGTGTAAGACTGAGCTAATGAACAAAACCTTGCCATTAAGATAATTTTAGATTTTTTTTTTTTGCCCAGTATGAAAGTATAATACATAATGGTTGTAAAAAAACTGCAACAATAGTGTTTCAAGCAACAACTGAAAGTTCCTCATATGTCCCTCTCGTTTTTCTGTTAACACAAATAGGTTCGTATTATATATACTGTTTTGCAGTTTACTTTTTTTTTTACTTAATCATATTATTCTTCTGTTAACTTGAAAACCATTTTCTCTAAACATATGTAATAAGTTTAGGAGAACAGAAATTATGAACAAGATTGTAGTGGTAAATCTGCCTGTGTTGCCATTACTTTCTCCATCATGAAATCCATAAATGAAAATAGATCCTCTTCAAAATAAGGAAACTTAATAATTATTAAATAGAATAATTAAGATTGTTTTTTATGTCCTTCCTTACTTGTATTTCTGGTTTTTTCTTTCTTTGAATTTTGGTACTGTATTTTTGTTATATAATAGGCACAAGTTCAATATCAACAGCAGCATGAACAACAGAAAAAAGATTTAGAAGTCCTCCATCAACGAAACATCAACCAGCTACAAAACAGATTGTCTGAGTTAGAAGCGGCTAATAAAGACCTAACTGAAAGGAAATATAAAGGAGACTCCACTATCAGAGAACTTAAAGCAAAACTTGCTGGTGTTGAAGAGGTATTGAATGTTGTGTTTTTGTTTTTTCCAAATTTAAATCTTAATGTTTTAATTTGAACAATGTTACTGTCTCAGTCATCTGGTGCTGCTCTAACAGGAATACCACAAGTGGATGGCTTTACAAAGAGAAATTTATTCTCTCACAGTCCAGGAGGCTACAAGCCCAAATTCAGGGCATCAGCTCCAGGGGAACGCTTTCTCCATTGGCTCTGGAGGAAAGTCCATGTCATCAGTCTTCCTTTGGTCTGGGAGCTTCTCTGCATAGGAACCTCAGGTCCAAAGGACGCGCTCTGCTCCCAGCACTACTTTCTTGGTGGTATGAGGTTCCTATGTGTCTCTGCTGGCTTCTCTCTTTTATATCTCAAAAGAGATTGCATTAAGACACTAATCTTGTCAACCTCATCACAGTGATAGAATTTACAACACATGAGATCACATATAGTCTCATCATAGTGGTAGAGTTTACAACACATAAGGAAATCACATCAGATAACCCAGTCATACAATACTAGGAATCATGACCTAGCCAAGTTGCTACACACATTTTTTGGGGGACACAATTCAATCCATCACAGTTACTTTATCACTTCTGTGAGTGGTCTTCTCCTGAATGCAGTTGATCTAAGAATTTCTTGTTTGTTAGGGTAGTCCATTCAGGCAATGCAAAGAAAATTGAGAATTTGAAATCTGATAAAAAAAAGGCTACTTAAGAACAGATCTGAGGTAAACTTGGATTTTTTAAATTAGTGTCTTGAGGAGTGATTGATTGGCACAGCCCTCAGATTTTCAGTGTACTTTTAATACTAGCCCAGTATCTGTAGCTCATAGGGTATTCCGTGTTGATAGGGCTGGTTCTTTCCTGCAGCCTACTCAACATATCAAACAACCATATGAAGTTTAGTGTCCAGTAATAATCATGATTATAGTAATAATGGTAGCTAACACTGAGCACTTGCTATGTGACAAGTACTGTTTTAATTCTTATAACAATTTTTTAAGGTAAGTACTATTATTATCCCCATTTCACAGATGATAAAATTAAGGCACAGGGAGGTTAAGTAACTTGCTCAAGGTCACATAGTCAGTGACAGAGCAAGAACTAGAACTCATCTTTTGTTTGCCTGTCTTTAGTACTACCTTGTTCTTTCTTGCCAAAGAGGAATTTAAAAAAATTTTGCTATAGCTGTACTTCTGGAAGCTATGTCCGCAAGGTTTACTTTTGGTGTTGGGGTAATCAGTTGATGCTTTGGCATGGTGATGATAGACTCCTGCCTGGTATTATTGTTGTCAGTTGCTGTCAAGTAGGCTTTATTACGCCTTATGTACAACAGAACGAAACATTGCCTGGTCCTGTGCCATCTTCGTGATCATTTATTTGTTTGAGCTCATTGTTGTGGCTATTGTGTCAATCCATTTCATTCAGGGTTTTCCTCATTTTTGCTGACCCTCTACTTTAGCAAACATGATGTCCTTTTCTAACAATTGGTCTTTCCTGATGACATGTTATTATACAGTATTGTCATATGATTTATCAGAAAATGTATATATGTATGTAAATTTTGTTATCTATCATATTTAAATACAAATATCACCACTGTTAATCTAGCTCACAAGACTTCCACTTCCACTCCATTTCACTGGTCTATTAACTAGACTTAGAAGCTGTAAGACCTGACAGATTTTATTTTCAGATCCTGATAGCATTCTGTTCTGGACAATAGTTCTTCCTTCCCACCCACCTTCTTCACTTTTCATACCAGTTAGTCAAACATTTTAGTCTGTATAATACATTGGATAGTCTAAATGCTTCATTATAATGCCATATGATTTCTTCTGCCTCAGCCCTCAACCTGGCCAGCATATAAACAGCATTTCATTATGTTGATTTTTATATAATCTAACCAAAATATTAGTTCCAAGGTTTGTATAAGACTCTTCTAAATTATGAGTCCTGGGAATTTATTTAAGGCATTGTTGCTGCTGTTGTTAGTAGCTGTTGAGTTGATTCCAACTCATTGCGACCCTGTGTGTGCAGAATAGAACTGCTCCATAGGGTTTCAGGGCCGTGACTTTCAGAAGCAGATCAGCAGGCTTGTCTCCCAAGGCACCTCTGAGTGTGTTCAGACCCCAGCCATTCAGGTACTAGTCAAATGCTTTACTGTTTGCGCCATCCAGAGATTCTGTTTAAGGCACTAGTACCTTAAAAATAATACTTGCTATGATATATTGAGTATCTACCGTGTGCCTGGCAATATGCTAAGCAATTTACATAAAGGTTTTTGTGAACCAAAAGGAAATCTAGCAATATTAACATATTTGTTGGCATGGAAAGATATTTGTAATATATAAGCCAAACCAAACCCGTTGCCGTCGAGTTGATTCTGACTCATTGCGACCCTATAGGACAGAATAAAACTGCCCTGTAGCGTTTCCAAGGAGCAGTTGGTGGATTCAAACTGCCGACCTTTTGGTTAGCAGGCATAGCTCTTAACCACTGCACCACCAGGGGTCCCCAGTATATTATATGAAGAAGGTAAATTATAAAAATGTACTGTATGAGCTCATTTTTAGAAAAAACCTATGTATGTAAGCAACAGAAAAATATTAATTGGCTAATTCTAGATCATAGTCACTTTTTAGAAATCAGTTAGGGAGCTTATAAAAGTCACCATGCGCAGGCCATATGCTACACTAATTTAACAAGAATCTCTTGGGGGATAGTACCAGGCATCAGTAATTTTTAAAGCTTCCCAGGTGATCCCAATATGCAGACTAGATTGAGAACCAGGGCTTAATGGTAGAATGATAGGACTTTGAACTGTCTTTGTGGCTGAACATGTATTTTGAAATTCTTATTATAATGAGAATGTATTAGCTAAGTGGTTTTTTTAAGCTGTAAATTTAAGACTTCAGAAAATTCTTGTTACTAGTTTTTAAATGTTGTGGTTATTTATAAATCAAGATTGTTTTATTTACCTTTGATATGACTGAATTAGACGTTAGTGTATTTTACAATTATATTTCACATCTACAGGTTACACTTGTAATAGAGACTTTCATGTCCTTTGAAAACATCATACGTATTAAGACTTTAACATTTTTTTTTATTGCTGTAGTTTAAATGTTTACATTTCAAGTTAGTCTCCCATACAAAATTTTATACATACATTGTTATGTGACCCTAATTGCTCACCCCATTCTGTGATAGCACACTCCTCCTTTCCGCCCCTGATTCCTCATGTCCGTTCAACCAGCTCCTAACCCTCTCTGCCTTCCCATCTCACCTCTGGACAGAAGCTGCCCCTTTGATCTCTTGTATCTACTTGACTAAGAGGCACACTCTTCACGAGTATCACTTTATGTCCCACAGTCCAGTCCAATCCCTGTCTGAAGAGTTGGCCTTGGAAATTGTTTTACTTCTGGGCTGATAGAGAATCCAGGGGCCATGCTTTCCGGGATACCTCCAGTCTCAGTCTGACCATTAACTCTGGTCTTTTTACTAGAATTTGAGTTCCGCATCCCATCTTTCTGCTGCTCCATCAGGGACTCTCTGTTGTGTTCCCTGTCAGGGCGGTCATTGGTGGTAGTCGGGCATCATCTAGTTCTTCTGGTCTCAGGCTGATGAAGTCTCTGGTTTATGTGGCCCTTTCTGTCTCTTGGGCTACTACTTTCCTTATTTCTTTGGTGTTCTTTATTCTCCTTTACTCCAGGTGGTTGGGACCAATTGATGCATCTTAGATGGCCGCTTGCATAGACTTTAAAATTTTTAAGGACATTTTTCAGCACAACTGGACTAAACAAAAGTTAAGAAGTTTCCTGAATACAATCAAACACTTTGAGGGACAGAGTAGCAGGGGCAGGGATCTGGGGACCATGCTTTCAGAGGACATCCAGGTCAATTGAGATAACAAAGTTTATTAAGAAAATGTTCTGCATCCTACTTTGGTGAGTGGTGTCCCAGGTCTTAAAAGCTTGCAAGCGGCCATCTAAGATGCATCAATTGGTCCCAACCACCTGGAGTAAAGGAAAATGAAGAACACCAAAGACACAAGGAATATACCAAGAGACAGAAAGGGCCACATAAACCAGAGACTTCATCAGCCTGAGACCAGAAGAACTAGATGGTGCCCGGCTACCACCAATGACCGCCCTGACAGGGAACACAACAGAGAGTCCCTGATGGAGCAGGAGTAAGGTGGGGTGCAGAACTCAAATTCTAGTAAAAAGACCAGACTTAATCATTTCACTGAGACTGGAGGAACCCTGGAAAGCATGACCCCTGGACTCTGTCAGCCAGAACTAAAACAATTTCCGAGCCCAACTCTTCAGACAAAGATTGGACTGGACTGTGGGACATAAAATGATACTTGTGAAGAGTGTGCTTCTTAGCTCAAGGAGATACATGAGACTAAATGGGCAGCTTCTGTCTAGAGATGAGATGAGAAGGCAGAGAGGGTTAGAAGCTGGTTGAATGGACATGGGAAATCGGGTGGAAAGGAGGAGTGTGCTGTCACAGTATAGGGAGAGCAATTAGGGTCACATAACAATATATGTATAAATTTTTGTATAAGAGACTAATTTGAAATGTAAACTTTCACTTAAACTACAACAATAAACAAAAAAAAATTTTAAGGACAATTTTGATATTTTAGACATCTTTATTATAACTAATCAGACCAGCCAATTTTCCGTTTGCATAATACATAATTTCAATTTTTTTTCACCTCTAGGAGCTCCAGCGGGCTAAGCAAGAAGTCCTCTCTTTGCGAAGAGAGAATTCTACACTGGATGCTGAATGCCATGAAAAAGAAAAGCATATTAATCAGCTACAAACAAAAGTGGCTGTTTTAGAACAGGAAATCAAGGATAAGGACCAGCTTGTTTTAAGAACAAAAGAAGCATTTGATACAATCCAGGAACAAAAGGTCTACTTTAAATTTTTTAAACAAATCAATGATCACATTTACAAATGATGCTTTTCCTAAACAAACATAAATGCCCTAATTATTCACATTTTTTGAAAAATATGTATCAGGTGGCTTTAGAAGAGAATGGAGAGAAAAGTCAGGTGCAATTAGAAAAACTTGAAGCTACGATAAAATCATTGTCAGCAGAACTTCTTAAGGTTTGTTTTAAAAATTTTAATAGAATATTAATATTTCACTGGATTATGTTGAGATATACATATGAAGCTCTTTCACAGGCAAATGAAATTATCAAGAAGTTACAAGGGGATCTGAAAACTTTAATGGGTAAGTTGAAACTGAAGAATACAGTTACTATTCAGCAAGAAAAACTCTTGGCTGAGAAGGAAGAAAAATTACAAAAGGAACAAAAGGAATTACAAGATGTTGGACAGTCTCTCCGAATTAAAGAGCAAGAGGTAGTTAATATTTTGTATTTGTGTGTGTATGACTGTTTTATTTGCAAAGTATAGAAAATCTTCCTCAGATATATTTTTTAGATTACTACTTTGTTAAGTTAGGGAATACAGGGTCTGGTTTTTTATAAAAGAATATCACTGGCTCCAACAGAAGTTAATAGCCGATTTCAATTTTCATAGTCATCATGACTCACATACATTGAGTGTGCACATATATATGTGTATGTATATATACACGCATAGTAAATATTTCATTACATATTTGAACTAACTCTTATTCCCATTTAATGAGAATCAGTAGAAAACAATAGTAACTCATTTCTTTAGTTTTTATTTTAGCCTCTATTGTATTTGATTTATTGTGAGGATTGGTGTATTTCAGGTATGCAGATTACAAGAACAATTAGAAGCTACAGTTCACAAACTTGAAGAAAGCAAACAACTTCTGAAAAATAATGAAAAGTGTAAGTATATTAAATTTCATGTAAATGAGGTTTGTATTTCATTCTGAACCTGAAAAATTTTAGTTGAATTCATAAAGCCTAGGTAAGTAAAGATATTTCTATTCACGAATAATTTCTGCTTTAAATATATTCTCTTAATGTCTTTGCTATAGTAAATTGTATCATCTGCCTTATAAAACACTTATTGTCATTATAATGAAAACCATATCACGTGTCAACCCAACCTTAAAAGTGTTGAGAATATTGGCCACAATTTACTATTTAAATTCTTTACTATATCTTTTTTTTTGTTAATTGCTATGTTTATCCAGTAGTAATAAAATGAGTTGTTTAAGCTAAAACATAAAATTAATGCTTCAGTATTTTCTCAGTTTCTAGCACTGGGTATCAGACATAAGGCTGTGGACTTTAAGTAAACTATAAGAAGTCACTCTACAAATGGAAGCCTTCAAAAAGTATTTGCCTAGTCTCAGAAGAGTAGAGATTCTTGACCAGCAGAAATATGTGCTTTTAAGAGTAATAGAATAAGGAGACTCATGTGATAGTTGCCAAAATAAGAATCTTTTTTTTTTTTGCCAAATCTTTTCATTAGCTAAAATAAGAATCTTTAATGACAGATATTTAGGTGAACCGATATTGTTTTCCAGTGACATGAGGTAGTTTTAAAAACAAAAGTTTTTAAATCTCAATATTAAAGTTTCAAATGTTTAAAATGACTAGAAAATTAAAATTCTTTACCTTGTTTCTTGTTTTTTTTACTTAAGTAATCACATGGTTAAATAAAGAACTCAACGAAAACCAGCTAGTAAGGAAGGATGCATTGGGCCTTTCTACCACGCCACCGGCACATTCTAGCAGCAACACAATCAGAAGTGGAATTTCTCCTAACCCTAATGTGGTAAGATTTAAATTAAGATGTGACTGGTCTCGGTGACTGTCCTGAAACAAAAGTATTCCCAGAGTGTTAGGAAGTCTCCAAGTGGTGGTACTAATACCGACTGGAGTCCTATAGTTATTAGCACTTAGAGTGTCCGTTACCCTTGGAAATAGGACGTAGGCATACCATACTTGCTCTTAACAAAGAAGCTGTATTTAAGGACACACTTTTTTGTAAGACTGTTTAATGGGTATAGAAAACATTCAGTACCAACCAATGTAATGTCAGATGTGCTGAAAACTTTAAAACACATGCACACAAGCATTCAGGAGACTTCATGGAAGAGAAAATTCAGGGATTGGGTTCAGGTTTGGAACTATGAAGGGAGGAGCCTAAACTGAGTTCTCTTGGAAAAAGGAATCTTGGGAACCCTGTTAGCAGGTTTGTGGGCTCTAAATTTTGGAAGAAACTGGTTACGAGATACACGCTTTCTAGCTCCCAGGTCTAGGTCTCTTGCTTTTTTCTTGTAGGAAATAAGAGGAGAGAAAGAGAAAGGTAGTTCCTTACATGCAGGAGCTAGCCTGACACAGCTAGGCCTTGCTGTTCTCCTGTTGAACATAAACACTTTCAAAGAACGTCAGCATCAGACAAGGCCACTCTGACTGATGGATCAAGACAAAAACAAGACCACTTCATAATCGTGTGTGAACACAGACAAAAATACGAACATTGCCATACCACAAAAATGACCAAGTATCCTTCTTTCCTGGCAAATACAGTGACTGCTGCTTCTTTACCAATTGCAGCTTTAGCTTTAATACATTCCTCTCACCTAAAGATTAATTAAGATACCCAGTTATAAAATTATCCCCACTTCCTGACAGCATCCAATCCAGAGCAAAGCCCTGCTTCCTAAATCACTAACATGAACCAGATTCTATAAGTCCGTTTTAACACCCACTTACTGAGAAACCCAAGTTCTTCATGGTATATAGCCTTCCTCATTTTGAGGAGAAATAATGCCAGTTTGTGTGCCTACAGCTGGGTTCCTGGTGATCTTTGACAGGAGGGCATTGACAGAGGGTTTAAAATTCAAATGTCTAATGGAATGTTTAGTAAATCACATAGTGCTAGATGTCTAAAGAATGGAAAGGTTTGCTTTCAAATTGGAAAAAGGTACAGAAAGAAGTTCCTGGGACTGAATTACAAACTTGAAAAACTTGACAGGTTTAACTTTAATGATGGGTGATAAAATACCAGAGTGAAATGTATTTTTATCATGTGCCACTTGTGTACACAGTTGCTTCTCAAGATTTGTGTTTCAATTGGCCTTTTATGAAAATAAGCTTTGTTCCTATGATCCTGTAACATTGGTTAATAGTGATGTCACTATATTGAACATTAAGTGGCAAAGCAAATCATTGTCTTAGTTAGATCTAGTTTTTAGTCAGAGAGTCTGGCAGAAAATTACTTTATTCCTGATTGGCCTCTTAATGTTTGATTCCCCCTAACCCCATTTCAGGAATAGGAGGCCTAGAGGGAACCAAGATGGTTCAGAGGTCTTTGTTTTAACTCAGTTCAAAGGCAGGCCTAGTGGTTTGTTTTGTGTAAGCTTGCCCAGAGCCAGCCTCTCTGAAAAGCCCACTGGGCCAAAGGCACCCCAGCCTCATACTATATAATAAACCAGGGTTTTGTAGTATCATTTTGGATAAAATTGGCTTCTGAGAGTGCTCTTAACTATTAGTTATAACAGATGCTAATACCTCCTGGATCAGCAAATAGTGCTTAAAACTGATTTCTCATCCTTACTGTTTTTTATGTGTTTATTTTTAGGTTGATGGTAGACTTACCTACCCAACTTGTGGGATTGGTTATCCTGTCTCTTCTGCATATGTATTCCAGAATACCTTTCCACATCCAATGTCTGCCAAAAATGCCATCCACCCAGTTTCAGGACCAAAGGTAGCCAAATTAATTAATGCTTTTTTTTTGGAAAAATATGGCAGCTCATTAATGTACAAATATTTTTCACCTTTTTAAAAATTCATTTATTTTTCGATCTATTGCTAAGTATTAGGTAACATATTAAATGGATACATTACTGAGTATTCATCTCTGTGAATATTGTTGACCAGCATGTATGCTTATGGAAAATATTATAATGTACTACATGACATTTCTTGAGTCACTGTAATTTGTGAAAAACTGGACATCCATCTGCCTAAACCTTATTTATTCCCACTCACCCTCTCCATTTTTATTTATTCCTCTACTTATTTTCTCTTGTTTATATTTCCTACAATTCTGAAGCCTAACTAGGATCACTGGCCGACTACTACTGGAGTATTAGCAGTGGTGACATTTTGGACTTCATTGCCAAGATTTAAAAGCCTGTCTAGGCAGGCTTATAGCAAATTCTAAAATGTAGTTATGGCAACAGTATTGCAAATAGCATATGCCCATCAATCCCTCCACCCCTTGATTAATTTGCTAAGGCTTTTTTCTATCCGTTTGAGTTCTTTATTATCATTATCATTACTAATGTCTTAGATTTATATATTATTTTAACATATATTATCATTTTATTTTTGCAGTAATTTAACCCACCCAGACCAGTCACTTATTTTACTTTCATTCCTAACTTCAAGTCCGAATTGTTTTTTCCCTAAATCATGGAGACAAACATTTTTGAAAGAGTATTTTAATAAAAGATAAAATTGAAGATTTTTAAATTGGCTTTATAAACTCTATCAAATTAGTTCCTGGCTGCTCTAAAAATAAGTTGACTATGTTGTTTAGGCAAGTGCTTCATTTTAGTTATATCCTTATAGTGAAAAAATAAAACCTAAAACAAATCATTTTGAGCTTGAACCTCCAATACATGTGTATTTATTTATTAATGAATTGTGTGCCTGTACTGCTGAACTTCTGTCTTATGTGCAGCATTGGTTAGTGGTTAAGAAAGTGGGCTCCGGTGTTAGCGTTTAAATCCTGTCTCTAACAATATACTCTTGGGCAGGCCACTAAAAAACAAACACCATCCGACACTCTGTGCTTCAGTTCCCCATTTATAAAATGGAGTGATAATTTTATCTACCTTACTTGATTATTGTGAGGGTTAAATAAGTTAATGCACTTGCTTAGAATAGTGCCTGGTACATGATAAAACCAAAAAAACCAAACCTGTTGCTGTCAAGTGGATTCCGACTCATAACAGCTGCGCTCTTAACCACGGAGGCACCAGGGCTCCACAGTACATAAGTGCTCCATAAATCACATAATTAATAATAAAATGTATTAAAAAACAGAAATTAAAGAATGAGATTTAAAAATGCATCTAAATCCAAGTTATACCATTTTCTTCTCATACCTCAATAGGTGGTCCTGATTTCCACCTACTTTGGAGACCATTGATCTAGGTAGTTTTGTGCTAGCAGCTATGGTGATTAAGACATACACTCTTTTGTGTTGCTTTAAAAATGATAATGCAATTTAAAAAATCACTATTTTATTGAATGTTGACACTGAATAAAATGACATTGAATCTGTGATATCTTAACCTGTCAAGATTTAGTACATTTAAGTAGAGGTTTAACTCTGAGAATGTAAAATAACACAAGTTAAATTAGACAAGAAACAGAATTATGCTGAATGAATACATGAGTATTTATTTCACTCATGGATTATTTAGTTTGTTTTTTTTTTCCAAATTTCTAACTAGCTGTAGATTTTCCATGTATCTTTCTGTTACAGATTTTAGTTTAATTCCATTATGGTCAAAAAACACACTTTGTATATCTTAGTTACCTAGTGCTGCTGTAACAAATACCACAAGTGGGTGGCTTTAAAGAACAGAAATATATTTTCTCATAGTTCTAATGTTAAAAGTCAAAAGTCAGCGTTTCAGCTGTGTGATCTGTAGCCCCCTAGCGTCCCTTGTTTCCTTGGTGATCTCCATATGACATCTGAGTTAAGTCTCTGTGTCTAATCTGCTCTTTTTAAACTCAGAAGTGGTTAGATTTAGAACCCACCTTACTTGAGTATGGCCTAATTAATAAAACAAAGAAGACCACATTTCCAGACAAGATTACAGGCAGTCCCTGGGTTACGGCTGTGACACTTACCTACAAACTGTAGTTACGAACCAACCCCTGTAAAGCCTATTATATCAAACCCGGTAAAGCCTATTACATTAAAAATTCGAGCCACATACAATGGTTCATAATTACAAATGGGCCCTACTTTGTGACATGCATCAAAACATTATTATTGCTATATTATTCTGTTAAAGATGTTTTAGTGTATCTGGAAATACTTCTTTAATATTTGTTATGCATAGAAAGGTACGTCCTGTGGAGAGCCTGGGCCCCTTCCCTGCCCCCACGTCGCAGCCCCTCTTAGCCAGGAGCAGTGATGCTGTTTTCCCAAAGGAAGGCTGGGAAGACCGTGGAGTCTGCAGCGCCCCACCCCCTTGTCTTTTCTTGCTTTGGGATCTTGCTGCCTGTTCTGGGAGAGGTTCTGAGAAGAGACAAGATCCAAGGATACAAGCACAGGTTTTCGAGGCAGCACGGAAACAGGGCTCGGGACACAACATCCCCTGTGTGCCCTCTGGGTCCTCGCTGGTCAGGATGTGAAGAAGGAAAACCCTCAGCGTCTACCGCGCCTGAAGCCTGCCCTCGAAGATGCCCCAGAGAGCGCAGTGGGGGCCCGCGGCTGGAGCACCTTTACCCGCAGCGCCTCTGTCTGTGAGCAGCGAAGCCGTCGGGCCTGCTCCCTTTCTTCCGAAAAAGTGCGATGGGGACCACCGCCCCCCTGGCAGTCGGCACAGCTCCAGGGCCAGCAGCATGGGACTGGACCGAGTGCCAGTTCCCTCAGGCTCACCCAGAGTAGGGCGCAACCCCTACCTGCCTGCACCCCCCTTAGCTTTAGCTTCCCCAGCACCAAAAAAAAAGAAAAACATTTAACTGCCGTTAGATACAAACAGTACTTAACTGTTCTGACTTATGTACAAACTCCACTTAAAGACAGATTTAGGAACAGAACTTGTTGGTAATCCAGGGACTGCCTGTACATTCACAAGTATAAGTGTTAGGATTCTAACATATTTTGTGGGACACAATTCAATCCATAACATTGTATGATTTCAGTTCTTTTAAATTTCTTAAGATTGGTTTCATAACTCAGGACATAGTCTATCTTGGTCAGTGTTCCATGTACACTTGAAAAGAACAGGTATTCTGTTTTTGTTGGATATAGAGTTCTCTAAATGTCAGTCAGATCCAGTTTGTTGAGTTCTTATACATCCTCATTTTTCTATTTATTTTATGAATTACAAAGGGAGGTGTGTTGATATTTCCAATTCTTGTGGATTTTTCCTGTCTTCCATTTCTCCTTTTAATTCTATCAGTTTTCCTTGATGTATTTTGAAGCTTTTTTGCTAGGTGCATATGCCTTTAGAATTGTTATTTCCTTGTGGTTAATTGACCCTTTCAATTATGTACTGTTTCTTCTGTGTTATCTTCTGGGAGTTTTATGTAGCTTCCAGATTTATTCTTGGTGACTTTCCTTACTCAAAAGTCTACTTTGATATGAATATAGCCACTCAAACTTTCTTTTGACTGATGCTTTCACGGAATATCTTTTTTCACCCTTTTACTTACATTGAAATTGGTTTCCATGTAGAAAACATACAGTTGGGTCTTGTTTGTTCCCTGTTTTATTTTTTATATTTTATAATTATTTTATTTATCAATAATACTGAAATTTTCTTTTCACTGAAAGATACCATTAATAATATCTTAAGGGAAGTGTGTTTGAATATACTTCATTACTTTTCAAAATCTTCAAGAAATCTATGATCCTAAAGCAATTCAGAGGTCTGATTCCAAGTTGTGTTTCAAACTAATTTTTTAATCTCATACTTCAGTTATTCAAAGATTTTAGTTAAAATTCAGCTAATACCTTTTTAACCTCCCTAATGTTTATCCATTATTTTTCACACTAATTGGAATATGTTGCATTTTTTGTCTTTTTTTTTTAAATAAACTATTTTTTTAGCACAGTGTTAGGTTTGCAGAAAAATTGCAAAGAAAGTACAGAGAATTTCCTTATACTCTGTCTCCCTGCTCGGTTTCCCCTATAATTAACACCTTGAATTGGTGTGGTACATTTGTTACAATTGATGAACCATTATTATTAATGGAAGTCCATACATAGTTTATATTAAAGTTGATACTTTGTGTTTTACAGTTCTGTGGGTTTTGACAAATGAATGATGTCATGTATCCACCACTATAGTATCATACGAATAGTTTTACTGTCCTAAAAATGCCCTGTGCTCCACCTATTCCTCCCTCTTCCTCCCTACTTCCCAAGCCCTGCCGACCACTGATCATTTACTGTCTCTATAGTTTTACCTTTTCCAGAACATGATATAGTTGGAGTTATACAGTATGTAGCCCTTTCAAACTTGTTTCTTTCACGTAGCAGTATGCATTTTAGGTTCCTCTATGTTTCTTTCTTTCTTTTTTTAATACTATTTTATTGTGATTTTGGTGAAAAATTGCACAGCAAATTAGGTTCCCATTTAACAATTTCTATATATATTGTTCAGTGACATTGGTTACACTTTTCACAACATGTCAACATTCTCATTATTACCATTCTGGTTGTTCCGTTTCCATTAATCTAGCTTCCCTGCCCCCCTTAGCTTCTCATCTTTGCTTTAGGGTAAATGTTGACTGTTTGGTCTCATATAGACGATTTTTTAAAAGAGCTCGGTATTCACTGGTGATATTGTTTGTTTTATGATCTAATCTTTTATTTAGCTGAAAGGTGACCTCTGGGAGTTGTTTCAGTTCCAAGTTGAAAGTGTATATCAGGGTGACAGTCTTAGCAGTCCCTCTAGCTTCTACCAGTCCAGTAAGTCTGGACTTTTTAAAGAATTGAATTTTGTTCTCTCT